AAAAAAAAAAAAAAAATCTAAAACTTTTGTGGCTATGACCTTCATAGCTCAGTGGCAGAACATGTGCTTAAGGACCCGAGTTCGATCCCCGGTACCAAAAAAAAAAGTATACCCAAGATTCTAGGTTCAATCCTCAGCTAACAAAAAAGCCCTAAAAATTTCAAGGCTTCCTATAGCTGAATTTGACTCCCTAAAATTTTACATCTGTAGTTCCCAAGCTCTGAAGAGCATCAGCATTGCCCAAGGCACTTTAGAGAGGAAAAGAAGGTCAACACTGCTTAGACTCTACACTTGAAGATTTTGATTTAGCCAGGTATGATGGTGCACACCTATAATCCCAACACTCTAGGAGGCCCTAACTAAACATGAAAAAATAAAAAGGGCTGGAGACACAGTTCAGTGTAAAGGCCCTGGGTTCCATCCCTAGTACTGAAAAAAAATTCTGATTTAGTGGGGAGAGACCCGGCATCTGCACTGTATTGTGACAGGCGGCTCCACTACTCTCTGAAGAGCAAAACCTCACACTAACAGAGCCTCACAGGAGGGCTGAGGCCCAAGCAATGAAACCAGTTTAAAGACTCCATGACACCTCTGGAAACAGCCCCGCCCAGGCCTTGCCCAGGCCGGACTTGGCCTCACGGGGTACCTGGCTCTCGAGACTGGCTGTCGTCACAGATGTGCAGGTCCAGGCGGGAGATGAGCAGGTGGTAGGAGGACTCCTTCACATCAAATTTCTCAAAGTATTGGCTGAGGCGGCTGCTGTTGCTGTTGCTGCTGCTGCTGCTACTGCCCTGGTTGCCACCAAATGCTTGGGCCCAGGACTGCTGAGCACTGGGAGCGGGCGGAGTGACCTACATATGACAAGAGAAAAATAAGCAGTCCCTCCACTGCCTGCCTCACAAGCAGAAGGCCTCAGGTTCAATCCTGGTACCAAACAAAAAAAGAAAAAGAAAAATAAGCAGTCTAGACCCCAAGAGGCTCCTCCACAAGCTTCACCTTAGCCCTACCTGCATAAAACCACATGCTGGCAAGATGCTCCTTCCCCCTCCTGCCTGCCTGCCTGCTGGATCACTGGGCTTTCAGGCTCTCCCTGGCCAGGATGTCCCAGCTGATGTGGAGTCACCTGCCCTGGGAAGTCTTCCTGAAGGCTCTTTAGCTGGCCTGCTGGAGGTGCCTCCTCTCTGCACTCTCGGGCTCAGCATTTACCTCTGTCACAGCGCTTACCACACCACACTCCAACAACTTGTCTGTGATCAATCATGCAGACAGTGAGGACCCCAGGGCAGGAGCAAGGTGCTTCTTCCACTTTTCCTCCCCAGTGACTATTACTGTATGCTGAACACACAGGAGCACCCAATGAACAGAATAAATAAACCACAGAGGGGCTTGCAAAGCCTAGGAGCATCCAGAAGTAACAGATCCCCCAGGTGCAAGTGAGGCCTGGCCCACCATCGCCCCAGCCCCACCAGGGTGCCCACTCAGCTCCCACCTGCACAGGCTCAGGAGCCAGGCTCTTTCTCTGCTGGGCTGACTTCTCCATGGCCTCGCTCAGGGACTCCGCGTACTTCATCATGGCCTTGAGCTGGGAGTCAGTGAGCACCCAGAGCAGGTCGTCCAGCAGGAACATCAGCTTGGAGGCCATCACATTGCAGTCTTTGGTCTGAGGAGGCCACAGAGAACATGGGGTTTGTCACCTGGTGTCACTGCAACTCCTCGAGTGACTGTGGCCCAATCAGTTTCAGAGGCGGCTTTTCACTCTCCAGGATGTGAAAGGAAAGAATGGAGCACTTTGAAAAGCCTGTTTCTTACAAAACTATCCAAGCTGGCTTGATTAGCCAAAAGCAGCAACAGTCAACTGCGAGGGGCCTTGTCAATGGGTCAATGTGGGTAAAAATTGTGATTTCCAAAACTAAGAAAACAAGGAGAAGGAAATGTTCTCTCACTGGTGAGTAAGTGTCACCGAGGGACCACTAATATTCCAAACAGTGAGGGAATGCCACCTCCCAGACTGCCTAGAGAATAAAAAGCAGACGTTTTCATGAGGATAGGGACACTCACTCTTCTCTTGAGGGCTATCTGGATCCTTCCTTGGTTGGTAATAAGCCTCAATGGGGTAGTGACAGAGTCCTGGTCACCATTATCTATAGCATCTGCCTCAATCCGAAGTGTTTGCCAGGTTATTTCCTTAAATGTCAAAACCTGGAAGGAGAAAAAGTAAACTCCATTAATTCTGTGAGTGAAATTAACCTAGAGGCAGGGATTCTAAAGGAAAAGACAGGCAAGGGTGTGTGTGAAAGATCCAAAAACCAAGGGGAGGGAGCAACAGTAACACTGGACACAACGGAGTTTGGGGTTCCTGGGAATGGGGAACATCTGAGGAAATCTCCAAAGAAGAAATAACCTTTAAGAATCTGTCCTACTTTGAATCCTCCCACTCCTTCCCTTCAAAAGTCAGGGCCCACCTCTCCTCGGCAGGGATCAGTGATGCGGGTCAGACGAAGGTCACTCTGCTGCCAGTTGGGGTTGACGCTATAACCCTGGAGCTGCCACAGTTCAAAGGAAGCGTGGAAGGCCTTGGAGTGAATCTTGATGGTGATGGAATTGACAATGATGAACATCCCCTCCACCACCTTCTCAGCAAAGCCGTATTCACTACAACAGAGGGGACTGAGGGTCAGGCTACGGGAGGCTTCTGGCAAAGCCTTTACACACAGACTAAGTTATTGGGTCCTACGTGTGTGAGTGTCTCTCCCCCTCCTCACCTTGAGGCTTTCATTTTCTAACATTTCTAAATATATTTTAGTGATGATAAAGTACTGTCTTTAATGAGAATTTTTCTAACAATGAAATGAAACAGAAAGAGTCGATCTGGAAACAGCCTCCCTCCTATCAGAAAGAATAAACTGGTAAATCTATTTATAGCACACAAACTACCTGAGTCAATAATCAGATATTATAGTGAGGGGGTGTGTAACTACAGAAAGAGTCACTGGGTTTCCAGAAAATCTTCAAAGTCAGAATGCTCTGCCCACAGGAGCAGAAGGATGAAAGCAGGATGGCTGGGTGAGGAAGAGGCTTAGCACTGAGAAACCTGCCCAAGGACACTCTGCCAACACTTCCCAAAGAGCCAGACTTCCATGGGGAGGAGCCAGAGCTGGCAAGGAGAGAGGAGCGAAGGACATCTTAAAGTCCCTCTGGATGTGGAAAACACTCATTTGTGAAATGTAGGTGTGATCACTTCTCAATAGAAGAAGCAAAACAGAAACCTGGATATTTAAACTGAAAAAATAATACACACGTACAGGTATGTAATTTATTTTTAAAAGAATTAATAAAAAACAAAGAATCCAGGGGTCGGGAGTTTAGCTCAGTGGCATACCACCTGCCTGGCAAGCTCGAGGTTCTGAGTTCAATCCCTGGTACCAAAAAAGAGAAAAAACAAAAGTCCAACAAAAAATGGGTTAAATGCCGGAAATTTACCTCAGTGGTAAATTTCCGCAAGCGCAAGGTCCAGAGTTTGATCCCCAGTACCAAAAAAAAAAGGGTCAAAGCGTGTAGAGCTTACAGAAAAATAAAGGCAAATAGATATTAAACATAAAATGGTTCTTAATCCCAGCACTTGGGAGGCTGAGGCAGGAGAATCGCTGTGAGTACAAGGCCAGCCTGAACTATAGAGCAAGACCCTGACTCCATAGACAGACAGATAGATAGATAGACAGACAGATAGACAGACAGGGCTGGGGATTTAGCTCAGTGGTTTTGGCACCTGCCTTGCAAGCCCAAGGTCCCGAGTTCGATCCCCGGTACCAAAAAAAAAAAAAAAAAGATTTAGATAAACAGACAGACAGATGCTAAACCTCACTCAAAATGATATTGAATCACCTGATTTGTGACAAAGGTGACTACACAGTAGGGAAAGGAAATCTTTTCTTTTTTTTCTTTTTTTGGTACCGGGGATTGAACTTGGGTCCTTCCACTTGCAAGGCAGGCAGCAGAACCACCGACCTAAATCCCTGGTCCTAAAGGAGATCTTTTCAATAAATGGTACATGGTCAGCTTGGAGATATCTGTAAAGAGAAAAATGATATTCCCCTACTTTACATAGAATTTGTGTGTGTATGTGTGTGTGTGTGTATGTGTGTTTGGTACCTGGGATTGAACTCGGGACCTTGCACTTGCGAGGCAGGCACCAGGACCACTGAGCTAAATCCCCGGCCCTACAAAGAATTTTAAAACTTAGTTTCAAAACAGATTGGAAATTTAAATGTGAAAAGTTGATAATGCTTTTAGAAGAAAACATCTTCATGCCTTAAGATGCAGGGGCGATGCGGGGGAAGATGGGGGGGGTTCCCTGAGCAAAACACAGAAAGTGCTAACTATAAAGGGAAAAGAGATATACTGGCTACATTAGAATTAATAATTTCAGTTCAACAACAACGAAAAACAGTAAGTCTTGGAAAGGCTGGGGCTATAGCTCAGGGTGGGATGCACTTAACATTAATGAGGCCCTGAATTCCATCCCCAGCACTGAAAAAAAAAACAGTAAGGCTTCAGGTGCAGCTCAGGGGCAGAGCACATGCTTACCATACATAAGGGCCTGGCTTTAATCTCTAACACCAAAACCAAATAAACAAAAAGCAACAGGAAACCCAGAATAAAAGATATCTGCATTACATGTATCTAGCCAGGGACTTGTTTCTAGAATATATAAAAAACTTCTAAAAAATTAATAAGAAAAGGACAACCCCAAATAAATGGCCCAAACACATAGGTGCTTTGTAAGAGAATATCCAAAATTCCAATAAACCCATCAGTATAAAAATGAAAATTAAAACCACAGTGAGGGGACAGCTCCCAGCCTGGAGGAGGCCTCCAGGTCGGTGTGCCACGGCTCCCAGCCCAGAGAAGACTTCCAGGTCAGCGTGCTACAGATCCCAGCCAGGAAGAGGCTTCTGGGTAGGCGTGCCACAGCTCCCAGCACAGAGGAGGTAAGCTGTGTGGAGGCCAGGACCACCCCTCCCACCCCTCAACCCCCAGCTCTGTCAAAATGAGAGACAGGTAAACAAGCCTCAGAACCAGACTTTCAGATCACCTACAGCAGCCCCAAAGGGAAATGAGATGGAACACTCTGATACTCAACCAACTGGACTCCCTGAACTAGCAATGAAAGAGGATCTGGAAAAAATGAAATCAGAAATAACTTCTCAGATAACATCAAAGATTGTGCCCATAGTCCAAGACATGATTAATAAATCTAGAGATGATACAGATAAAAAAAAATAGAGGAGGTGAGGAACATGATAGAATCCCAACAAAGGAAAAAAATTGAATCCATAAAACAGATGCAAACAGATTTCCAGGAGATTAAAAACTCTACTGAATGTCTGCAGCAGAATGAGCCAATATGAAGACAGAATTTCTGATATAGAAGATAAGATTGCAATTAGTGACCAGAAAAAGAAAAAATTCTTTAAAATTGTAAGAGACCACAAGAAATCAATCCAGCAGCTGCTAGATGATGCAAAGAAAAATAACATAAGACTGATTGGAGTCAATGAAGAAACAGGAGAGAGTGCAGATGACATAAAAAAAATGTTTACAGAAGTGATGGCAGAAAACTTCCCAAGCAGGGGAAAAGAATTTGACATACAGGTAAGCGAGGCATAGAGAAATCCAACTAGCCTTGATCAAAAAAAATCTACACATAGGCATATAATTGTTAAGATTCAAGAAACCCAACAGAAGAACAAAATTCTACAAGCAGTTTGAGAAAAGAAACAAATCACATACGAAGGAAAGCCCATCAGAATCACAGCAGACTTCTCAATGCAAACCCTCTAGGCAAGAAGAGCTTGGAGTGATGTATTTCAAGCCCTAAAGGAAAACAACCTCCAACCCAGACTGATGTACCCTGCA